CTGTACCATACTAGGCTCATCTTTGATAGAATTGATCCTGTGAATTTTAACAACCATGTTTCACAACTAATTGCATAAATTATTCATCATCTTAATTAAAAATGAGATTATGGAACAATGTTATGTAACAGTTCAATAACCTCTAATTGTAACCATATCAATGACTTCTTATTAAAAGCCAATATATTTCTCAGTATGTCCATCAACACATATTGGTGGTGTGAGGGTTGTGCAACTTAATGTAATAGTGAATTGGAAATTACGTTAACGTTAGTGTATAAGAGAATGATTATAATACATTCATTGAGAAAAATGCACATTTGTATAGCATCTTTAAGTCTACTGTAAATAATAACATTTTGCTGGAAAGGTACATTAGCCGTTTTGTTTGTATGGAGTTTTTTTTTCATTGAATATTTATCAGTTCAATGTAAAATTTCAGAAAAAATGTAGAATCACTGGATTTTATTTTCACTGAATCATCCTTTTAGGAAATATAGTAAAAATAAATTCCTAGTGAAAATAAAATACTTTATAGTTTACGAGTACTTTTTGATCAACAATATTTATTGCCAACATTTCACACGATTTCACTCATTTTTCTATAATTCTTTTGCAAATTTCCAACAAAGCAGACATAATTTCCCCATCAGTTAATAGACTTGATCAAATTTTTGAAAAAATATTTCATATTTTCCTTTTTTTTGAACGGTGAAACCATAAGTTATTTTTGAAATTTTCAAAATATGGAATCTTCACCTAATTCAAGATCTAAATTTTTCGTTTGAGAAAACCTTTTTTCACTTGGCGCATATGCGACATGTTATCAACATTGATTTTCCCCCAATCCAATGCGCTCTTCTAATGGCACTACTGCCAGTGAACTTTTGATACCTTCTAATCACCAAAGATTACACAGTTAATGCATGGTAACGTCTCAGTTTGTACTCATTTGTCTATACACAGTGGTCTGCGCAGTTGGTGATGCGAATACCACCACCCTTCAATCTTGGTGCTTATACAATAAATATGAATGAAATGAGGGAATGCGTTACTAGTCGGTGTTACAAAATCTGTCTATTGACAAACAATATTTGAGCAAAAATTATATTTTTTTACACATCAGGCTATACACACGCGAGACAGTTGTCACAGTTTTGATGCCAGACAAACCGAGTACATGCATTTCTTCAAGCTAAGACCAGCCACACTTTTCCACCAAAAAAAATATTTATATCAGGTCAGCACATGCATCAGTTTAAACAGTGCAGATTTTGTTTCTTTTTTTTTGGCCAAAATATTATAAAAATAAAATTAAAATAAAAACCATTTTTTTAGCAGCTCAGGGGGAATCTTTTTTTTTTTAAGCTTAAACATATAAACATGTATATGTAAGCTCAGGTGGGCATTGTGGATTAACAAATTACCTGCAGATACCATTAATTAAATACTATACTTAACAGCTTATCCATGGAGGATTTGTGTTAACATTGGCAATGTGTTAATTAAACTACATGAACATCACTTTCAACATTATTTTATCATAACCCTACCTAGTGGGTTCAGCATATTCTTCTTCTTCTTCCTTCGTTAGTTTTTCGGGTTTTTCAGGATGTGCATGTTTGCTTTGTGTTATCCTCATACCACCGGCTTTCACTGCCAAATAAAAAATAATCATAATCACTGTACAGTCTATGTTACATTACAACGCAACACATAAACACTGATATAGTTCCAAGTATGATCACATTATAACTGAAATTTAATGGTAATTTTTGCATTATGAAATGTTTACGTCCAATAAAATAATTGGCAAGTCACTGCACTATAATACCCTTACCAGCTTAAAATATTACAAAACACAGTCATTGTTAAGCATGTGTTTAACGGTTATAGAAGAAACTACTTAGGTAAATTGTTCACCACCAACAGTTCATTGGGGGGGGGGGGGCAAATTGCAGTTATTCTGTTGGATATATTTGGATATACTTTCTTGTATTTAAATAATTGTGCACATATCCTGTCATTACTGAAATATGTGCACAATTATTTAAATACGAGAAAAGAATTGAAAACAACACCAGCAATTGCAGTCACTTAGTACATTGTGCTTACATCTCAGAAACCAAAAGCAAAGGTAATACATGGGCAACATTTGTAAATAAATTACAGGAAATAACTAAAACTGGTGATGCTGATGACAATACTCTGCTTATTTCAAAATTAAAAGAAATCTATGTTGAAAAAGTTTGGCTACCAACAGTCCAGACAACCCAAAACAATAAATTACGTACATACACTCAGTTCAAACCTACATATAAATTTGAACCATATTTGAATCAAGTAAAAATTGCACAACATAGAACCAGCTTCACCAAATTTAGGATATCTGCACATACAAATGTACCCTACCAATTGAAAAACTTAGATATCAAGGAATACCTCCAGAGGAAAGAAAGTGCCAACTTTGTAACAATGGGGCTATTGGCAATGAAATCCATGCACTTTTAGACTGTAACCATACTGGAATAACAAATGCTCGTACTCAATTTCTGAATGTAGTTAGCATTTATAATAAAAGTATCTTTAAACTATCAAAACAACAAATGTTTACAGAAATTTTAAGTTCGAGAGATTGGTTCATTGCCAATAGTGCTAGCAAATTTATTGACAACATTATTTTACTACATGTACAAGTAATTTTACTTAGACTTTAGTTATTTATATATTTTCTTTTGTCTCGTGTGTGTACTTGTGTTTTATTATATTTAATGTCTTTTGACAGATAATGTAACAAAATATATTATTTAGTGTCAAATAAAATATACACTAAAACATGCATAGCTTTAATAGCCTTTATGGGTGGGGATAGTTGAAACTAAAATGTTAGTCAGTTACCCTGGTCAAGATAGAAACGGTAACATATTTGGATGTTTTGTAGAAAAATGCTAAAAACTATGTATTGTTCTGAGATTTTCCATATACATGGTAATGCATGTACCATTTTAAATTAAAGTATTGGGCATACTAGTAACTGCCTAATTGACTAATGATATTCATTATCGGCCAAGCATGTAATAATTGCCTATCTTATAACTGTTACACAGCCGATATTTATTTCAGTTTTGTATAACACATATTTTGATCAACAGACACATTTTTCTCAAACAACGGGAATATTCCCATTGTAATAATAAACCATTCCATATGTCTTGATCGTCTGCTGGTTCGCTTATTGCGTGATGTGGACGTGGCAATAAATTTGACGTAATCGTATAATCTAGTTCGTAACCTCTAGATAACCCGGCCATTGTACGGAGTCTGCCAGGTGTTAAGGAATAAAAAATCATTTTTTTTTAGATTGGCATATGTCGTATGAATTTGACACCACAAAAACCCTTCACTACACGGACAAATAAATTTCAATCAAAATTTAGTATAAACAGTGAAATCGGGTGAATCACGAAATAAATGAATGCACCACGTTGCTATTGTTATCATAATCAATAACAGTTAGTATGGGTTGCTGCATCGAGCTCACCACGCCTACCAGAACCCCCGGGATACTGTCGCGCCAACTTTCTCGGTCAATTAAGTGAGTGCTCACGAAAAATACACACCTGCTGGAGGATGTCCACCTTTAATGTCCGCGGCTTCTTCGGCACTGGACATTTCTGAAATATCTAAATACGGAGTTTTTCTGAAATGCTTGTTCGCAGTAAACAGGAACACAGACTTCGAACGACGTGCGCACTAGAAAATTGCTGTCTATTCTGTTTCACACATCGACCTGGTCACGTGACGTTGTTTACATTTGAGGGTGTCCACCTTGTTAAACACGACCATTGATTCAAAGTGCAATTTTATATTTAAAATTTATAATATTTGGGGCGCGTAATGAATAGAAATACTTCGAAGGTGTCCCTTCATCGACTAGAAACTGTCAAGACGTCCCGTTAAAAGAAAGGTGCCACCCCTACATTCAAATGGTTGGCTCCATAACCTTTAAACTGGTGCAACGAGTTTTGCAACGTCATCGTTTAGTGCGGTCAACCATTTTGTTCCTTAATGTGTTGAGTTGTTTTGCTGCAAACTTGCTTCTTACACTGTGCCAGTTATTATTGTTATGACTTATACAGCGCTTGAATTCTGACCGAAATAATCAAGTCAACTCATATAGTCATAGTCACAACTGCATACAACACGTTTCTTGCATGTGGCTGATCAAAAGATAGCGACTAAACGTCTCCGCGACGCCACACTGGTTGATCGTGCCGTGAGGCGAACGTTATCGTTACGAACTAAGCTGTCTTAGCTTATTAATCTACTACTCAACTACGGTACATAGGCTGCCCCCGGAAAACCGTCACCATGGGAGGAGGTGACTTGGTAAGTATTGTATTGGTCTGTTAGATCTTGTGTAGTGTCATGTCTTCTGACTGATTACAAGTCGTTTGAACCCCTCGCCGTTTGGATCCCAGGACGATTAGACCCCTCGGCGTTTCGACCCCTCAACGGTATAACCGCTTGACGTCACACTCCTCAACATTTGCACCCATTTTATTTGTCAAAAGTTGCAACATTTTACTGGATAAAACTAGAAGATACCTGACTTTGGCAACAGAATCGCGAATTACGGCGATCCCTCGACGGTTGAACCCCTTGTCGTCACAACCCCAAACGTTTGAACCCACTCTTATTACGAATATGAATACTGCCCGATCAAAAGCAACAACCACTTTACTGTATAAAATTAGTTGATAATAAAAAAAATGGCAACAGAGTCGCAAATTACAGCGGCTATCTTTTCTGATCGATGCCTGGGCGTTGGAGAAAGTTCAGTCCGCCATGTTGTTTACTATTGCAAGGCTATTGTTTAGCAATAGGACTATACCATTTGATTCTTAGGGACGGCAATATAGTCAATTAACACATTTCTTTTTTGTTTTGTTTTCAGGAAAAAGTCAATGTTCTTTTCCGTGTAAAGCTGTGATTATGTAACCTTACCCCAATCAAAATAGTTAGGTGAAAATACGAGAAACATATTTACAGCCGGTACATAGTGGCTGTCATTACAATGGACCCTTGCTAAGTTGTGGGTGTCGGGATCCAAGCAAAAACCACGACATATCAAGGGTCGCGACTTTCCGAAGGGGCTCTGTCGGGTTCATTTCCGGGGCCAAGACAACTTGTTGTAGAAATCCGAATTCAAGTAGGGAATAGACTGCAATGTTCAATAAACACACTAGCAAACATATACAAAGTTGCATATGCTAAGCTTATTTCGTATTTTTCATGATGCCGATCGAGTGGACGAACGTGAAACTTTAGTCCACTGAAACAAAGCACGTCGGTTCACGTGTTTGACCCAGCAGACAACATCGGCATGGATCTATTAACACATTTTTGTTTTCTTTTCAGGAAAAGGTCATTTTTTCTCTTGTTTAAGACTGTATTGATTATATGTCACACTATTTCAAACGGTGGTGCCGACGATGCCGTGCCGACAAAGGATAGTGAGTCACACCTCTACTGCTTAGTTATTAACAGCTTATTTATTATATACGAAATGAATCAAATACGAAAAAAGTAATTTAAATAAAAAAATACGCGAGTGAATCAAGTACCAAAAAATACGAGAGTGAACCAAGTACGAAAAAATACACGAGTATTTTAAATAAAAAAAATACGCGAGTGAACCAGTTACGAAAAATACGCTAGTAATTTAAATAAAAAAATAAGCGAGTGAACCAAGTACGAAAAAGAACACGAGTAATTTAAATAAAAAAAATACGCGAGCGAACCAAGTACAAAAAAATACGAGAGTGAATCAATTACGAAAAATACACTAGTAATTTAATAAAAAAAAATACGCGAGTGAACCAAGTACAAAAAAATACGAGAGTGAACCAAGTACGAAAACATACGCGAGTATTTTAAATAAAAAAATACGCGAGTGAACCAATTACGAAAAAAATTCGCGAGTAATTTAAATAAAAAAATATGCGAGCGAACAAAGTACAAAAAAATACGAGAGTTAATCAATTACGAAAAATACGCTAGTAATTTAAATAAAAAAATACGCGAGTGAACCAACTACTGGTTTTCTTCCTCGATCGTTGGACCATTCAATTTACTGAACCTTCTTAATAGTTTCGAAATACTTATTGCCTTGTCGTCGTACTTTTGCCATTGAGCAGAGATACGTCCTTCGTTTGTGCGGTACGTGGCCCTCTGGTAGTTCGGAATCTTCGACTCTCTCACTAAACGCGATTGTATGGTAGTTAGCCTGGCTTCTTGGTACAGTAGTGGGATCAAAACGTAAAACTGTAATTCGCTGCGGTTAGCCTTTCCATTTATCCTTCGATGCCATCCTTCGACGTGATTGTTGGTTCTGATGCTTTTTTTTAAAAATGCACCACGACGCGATTGGAAAAACTCGGTTTTCTATCCAGGTGGTATGGACATAACGCATCAACTCCTTGAATTCCGTCGTCGCATTTTCTTCTAACTCTCTAAACATGGGCTTCGATGTGTTCCTGCGGCAGGAATGGTAGCGCCATAATTTTTCTGATAAATCTAAATACTGATCCCTTCCGGTTATACACCGACTGTAAACCTACTTGCTTCACTTTGCGGCCTATTGCCTGTGTCAAATGAAAAACGCATCCTTGGATTCTTAGTTCAGAGAAGACAGAACGTACTGCACGCCACATCCCTGCTTCGAAATCCATAACGCATGCCTTCGCCTTGAATCCGGGTACTGCGATTCTAATTGCTCTAAATACTGATTCGTAATCTCTTGATTCTCGGCGGGACATCAAACAATACACTAACGGATTTTGCTTCAGGTCATTCTCTTCGTCACCTTTGATAGAACCGTGAATAGAAAAAAGCTGGTAAAATGGACGTCTAACGATCTTGAAAGTAACGTCCATGTACCACGAACGCGCCTTGCGTAGTACATGGAGCTGGGCCGGAGTATAAAAAATTAGGTGTCGCGCGCCCTCGATTACTACATTGTTCTGCAAAAAATCTTCAGGCAGGAATGATTCGGCTAACTCGAAATCTAAATCTCGGGGCTCTTTTGGTCGCGTCTTTTCTCTGGTATGGTTTGCTGCTCTGGTCAAGTTGGCTGGGACAGGTAAACTATATGGTGGGTCTTCGGGATGCGCATTCTTCACCATAATCTCCTCCAGATGTCAGCTGATGAACGAAAAACTGTTTCCTTGGCTTTTGGCCGTACCGGGTTCACCTGCATGGTTGTGGGCATGTAATCCTCTAGTGAAGTTATCCCCCGAATGGGACACCGAAGCACGACATTGTATACGGGAGGTTCGCTGGCTGCATCTCCATGCTGTAACCGTCCTATTCTTCGTCGATTTAGAATGGTAGGAGTATCCGCTACTGTCAGTTAGCATAGTTTTCCCTCGTTTCGATGCTCCTTCCACGAGTTCGTATGTAACGCGATGCTCCTCTAACGTGATTAGTCCCCGTTCAGGCACAGCCTGAAAAGGGGACTTATAATTCAGGTTTTGTCTTTTTTCCGTCTCCAACATTTTCTCAGAAATTCTACAGCAGGTATCAGTGAAACTTGGCAGGTTGATGAATAAGTGTCTTCCGAGTATGCACGTAATTTTTTTTTTCCAGATCTGAAAATCCCAAGTGGGTCTTTTTCACGATTTTCATCAAAAATTACCTCTCCCGGCAACATTGACAGAACGTCTGCGCATGCTCAGAATAAATTAATTACTGTAAAATACTTTATTTTTGCTTGCAACATTTTTTTGCTATTTTCGCTGAAGGAATGTTTCAGTTAAAATAAAATCCAGCGAATATACCCTTTTCTTATATTTTACAGTCAACTT